TAGTTTGGAAGTTTTGGCCTGATTACCTGTAGCAGGGGTGGGTTGGGGCTGGACTTGTCTGCAGTTTAGCTTTCCAAACCTTCCCATTTGATTTCTTATTCCTATTTTCATGATCACCTTCCTAAAGAGCCTTTTTATTTTATTATTTTTTATTTTTTAATTATAAATTTTATTTTTATATTCCCCATACAATTGCAACCCCCTTATTTTGACCCCAATCCCTCCCCTCCCCGCCACCCACCCCCCCATAGAGTGTCTCTGATTCATAGTTGTTTGTTGATTTTGATTTTTACTTTCTTATATTTATTCTTTTTCTTGGTCCCTTATTTAAGTTTTCTAGATTCCTGCTATGAGTGAGACCATCCGGTATTTTTCTTTTTCTTTCTGGCTTATTTCGCTGAGCATGATCCCTTCCAGCGCCATCCATGTTGCTGCAAACTGCATGTGTTTATCTTTTTTGAATGCTGAGTAATATTCCATGGTATATATGTACCACATCTTCTTGATCCAGTCATCTATTTATGGGCATTTGGGTTGTTTCCAAAGCTTAGCTATTGTAAACAGTGCTGCTATAAACATAGGGGTGCAGGTGCTCTAAAGAGCCTTTTTAGACACAATCCCTACTTGTGCTCTCCCCCATCCTTGAAATGTTAATCCCACAGATCTGCTGTATATGTGTTTACATACCTTACATATCTCCATACATCAAAAGAGTTTCACCCTTACATCCCCAGGAACCAATTCTTGCACCTTGGGGTGATTGTGCCCTGTTGGGAAAACTGACAGACCCCAAACAGCCCCAGCTCCACATTTGCACAGGTTTTCAGGACAACAGTAGCACCTCCTCCTGGGGCCATGTGTGCATCAAAGTCCACATGGCAAGTCAAGTGCTTATGATAGAGGATAAGGATAGATAACCTGGAAAGGAGGCACCACAAGACCAGAAACCTGGCTCGCACAATGCCAGGAGCTGGAGGTGAGGGTAGAAGTGATTAACATAGTTATTAAACCAGCTCTAAGAGCTAAAAATCCTTAGGCGCCAAGAAACAGGCCCAAGCAAAGTGTCAGATGCTGTTAGTGTCTTGGGGGTACAGATCACAGGTAAAGATATGGAGATAGAGGGCCTCAATCTCAGGTCCCTTTCAAATTCTACATAGTTACCCAAGATCAACAGCAAACAAACCACTCTATGATGCAGTGAGCTCTGCCCAAAGAGAAGACTATATCAGTGCAGCCAGTCTCTGCACTGGCACGGGGCAGCAGCCCTTCTGCCCACCTGTGACTATGCAGGTGCTTCTTTTTACCAACCTTTACCTCTGCCGGGTAACAGGTCTTCCTGCCTGCCTGTGACCTGTACCATGTCAGGGCTTCTTTTCACTGACCTCCCTCAGCAGAGGCAGCTTTCCTCAAGGACTCCCGCCTACAATCGTGCAGGCCTCTCTTAACAAATCTGTCCCTTCCGGGACAGCTCTTTCTGCCCGCTTGTGTCTATGTAAGTGTCCTTCATTCTTCTCTCCCTTTGGATATGACTAATATCTCTGTCTTGTGGAGAAAATTGCCTGGGAAACTCGCCGCCTGCCACTGAAAGGGGAGCTCTGGGCTTCCCTGGTGGTGCAAGGGGTTAAGACGCAGCCTATGAAACTGTCCGCAGCCACTGCAGCACGAGTTCAATCCCTGGCCAGGGAGCTACCCACATGGTGCTGCAGACCTCCCCTGACTCGCCTGCTGCTCCCCTCAGCAGTGTATTTCAGTCAGTCTGCCTGTTCTGTTCCCCACTCTGTATCTGGTGAATCCTCTCACCCCCCCGCACCACTGGCCTGAACCCCAGTTCTTGTATGAATAAATAAATAAATAAATCCTGAAAAAAAAGAAAGGGGAGCTCTGGTGAAACTTTTCCCAGAGTGAACCCTATGAGGACACCACTCTCCAAACCCAACAATTCCCAAAACGACTTCACTTGCACTTGGCACCAATTAAGCACTGGTAAGTGCTGTCCCACTAATATTAGTGATAATCATGGCAGTTAACATTTATTGGGAAGTTATTGTGCAGTGTGATTTTAGACTTTTCCCTGAAGTAACTTAGTTTTTAGAACAACTCTGTTAAGTACAGACTATAATTCTTATTTTCATTGTTGAAATGATATTTTCCTACTATTGAATATCAAATCTATTGAACTGAAACACAAATAAAAGTGACGAGGAAGAATGAAAAAATTAAAAATCTGGAAGCAGCTCCATCACATAATGCCTCAGTGAGACAAACATCACATATTTTTTTAAATAATAAATTTTATTTTTATATTCCCCATACAATTGCAACCCCCCATTTTGACCCCATCCCTCCCCTCCCACCCCCACCCCCCAAAAAGTGTCTCTGGTTCATAGTTTTTTGGTGATTTTTATTTTTACTTTCTTACAGCTATTCATTTTCCTGGTCCCTTATTTAAGTTTTCTAGATTCCTGCTATGAGTGAGACCATCCGGTATTTTTCTTTTTCTTTCTGGCTTATTTCACTGAGCATGATCCCTTCCAGCGCCATCCATGTTGCTGCAAATTGCATGTGTTTATCTTTTTTGATTGCTGAGTAATATTCCATGGTGTATATGTACCACATCTTCTTGATCCAGTCATCTATTTTTGGGCATTTGGGCTGTTTCCAAAGCTTAGCTATTGTAAACAATGCTGCTATAAACATAGGGGTGCAGGTGTTCTTTGGAATTGACAAACATCACATATTTTGAAAGGAAACTCATGCATCAGATTTTCAGTCAAGAGTTTATCATATAATTGTAGATTTATGCGGCAATCATTATTTCATGCATTTTTTGCTTACTTCGTTGTTTGTATGACCACATGTCCACCAGCATACTAAAAAAAATCAACTGGATTGCAGACAGTTTATACAAAGTATCATCATTTTAGCTATTGTATACATCTTTCAATCAGTCAATTCTTTATGACTTCCTGAAAATGGACAGTTTGAACACACATCTGACAGAAAATAAAAACTATTTATGGGAAATTTGGTGCCAATATGGATATTTTGAAGTTCTAACATGTACTGGAGCATTAATAGAGTTAAACATTGTTAAGAAGAAGTCTTAGATTTGTCGTGGTTGTGACCTTAAGGGAAAAAATTGTCAATAAAACTAGTAATTAAACTAATCAATGACGTTATCTTCAGAAATGTTATGCTTATTCAAAGAACTCTTTCAAACTTATTCATACACAGCTTTAAAAGCCACCCTGTGCATAAATAAAAATATTAGCAAAATACGTGCCTCAAATTTTTCTAATTCAGAATCCAACTTTTCTGAACCATTTTGGTTGAGAATTATTCAAGTCTGTGTTTTTCCATTACATGGAAAACATGGAAACATCCTGGGCCATCAAAAATGTTGATGATATAGCTTCTGTTCAAAGAATGCCCACTTTTGTCTTTGAAGTTTTCTATTTATCCAGCAACACATTCTTGTAAGGCTTGCTGCCTGTGCTTTCTTAATCTCACCAGAGATGTCAAGTGATGTCAACTATGTTATGACTGCTACTTGGTCAATAGCCTTTGGGGGAATAAAAGATTCATCCTGGCATTCAAGCTATAGAAAGCTCTCCTGGGGAAACACTTGGTGGGGCCACTCTTGCTGCCCTGGGTGCCACTGACTCTGAAGCAGCTGCTACAAAACCTGTGCTGACACTGTTCCAGCTTTTCACTTTTTGTTGTTAAAACAAATATCCTCTTCAGATTCCTTTCTGTTAGCAAGAACAGGTAGTAAAGTAGGTCTTTTGGAAAAATAAAGTGGCATAATGCAAACCTTCAAGCTGCAGTGGGTACCTGCAAATGACCTACTTTGTTTTGGTTTTCCACATCCTTTCTTTGTCACATTTTTATTGTTTCTCACCTTGTCCAGTCCATTCTTGATTGTTTTACCTGAAGTCAGTAAGTTTGCTCATTCCTTTAAAGCTTCCTGAGAAGTTCAGAATTTCACTCCAGCCAGTTCTAAAACAGGAATTCAGGCTAACAAATAGTTGGAACCAGAGGTGACTTTTCATTACATTCAAAGTGACTTGGGCTTGAGATTATATTACCACATACTATAATTTTCTTCAGGTCAGCACCTGGCAGTGATAGATGCACCATACAGAAGTTCCTGGAATCCTGAGGCAGCTCTGGGGACCTCAGAGCTTAAAGATACTGAAGTAGGGATACTTTCCTTGACTCAGCTAAGGTCCCTGGAGCTCAGAATCCAGAATCAACCTCTTTGCAGCTCCTTTTCCATTTTTTCACACAGTGAGGTTTTGACTAAGTAGACTTTGAATTTGGTTATTGTAAACAAAACACTTCCAGTTCTGATCCCCCACCCCCTAAGGCAGGAGCTATGTCTTGAGATGAAGGGGTCAGTCACCTCTGAGAAGTACTGAAACTCTACCTCTTTCACTTGTTTCCAGCCTCCATGCCCCTTGCATCCTTTCTGATCAAACCAGGAGGGATTATTCTTACAGATTAGAAAAATCTTTTACAGATTAGAAAAATTGAGGCACAAAGTGACTTATCCAGGGCCACACAGCCAGTAAGTGACAAAGCCTGCACCTGAATCCAGAGCACCAGGTGCTTATGCTCTGAGCCACCATGCCGTGTGCATTGGTGTGAGTGCGATGCTAGTGCAAACATCAGGATTCATTCTTTAACCTCTTCACAGTGGCAGTGACCTCACTAGTACTATGACGTCAAGTGAGTCAGCCACCCACGTGGTCATCTTAGGGCTTTGAAATAAACTTTTCTGATTCTTCCACTCCCGGTAGAGCTGCCTGAGCTACTGATCAGAATCTGTTATTTGAGCTCCCACTTCCCAGGCTGAGGAAACTACCCAGACATCCCGTGCAACCATTCCTCCTTCTTCGGAATCAAGATGGCGCCAAGCGTGGGCTGCTGCTGTGGAGATGCGTGTTGCTATGGCAGCAGCGCCTGCCTCCTTCCTACCCTCTTGGAGGTGCTCTGACATAGGCAGTAGTTTCTATGGTAACAAGCTGAGTGGAGGGTCCACAAAGAAAGGACTGTGTGTGTTCTGACACGGGGGGAATTGAAAATGAATCCTCAACATTTGGAGGGCTCCCTGGCCCCATGTCAACCGCGAGCAGCGCCATCTCCACAGGAACGCGCCAGCAAGAACAGGGCCAGAGACTTCGCTTTCTTAGGTTATTCTCCCTACGGGCTCACCTTTTGTCTTTCTTTAAAAGGTCCGTTTCAGACTTTAGATGAGGAGAAGGAAACCTTAGCTGATGTGAATTCTCAGCGGCGCCTATACAGGCAGTGGGTCCACAAACAAACTTTTCAACATGATTCTCACCCCCTCAGAGAAATTTGAAAAGGTGAAGGGGCCAATGCCGTGTCCTACTTGAAGCTGTTCAGTGTTCAGTCACAGAAAACCCTGCGGGTGACTGACAGCCTGCGCCCACGGCCGTGCCCCTTCAGAGCCCACGCCTCTCCTGCTGCCAGGAAGGCTGGGCTGGGCTGTGCTTCGGGATCCAGGCCTCACAGCAACACTCACTTTGCCCTTTGCACGTTTTCAAGGTAACAGGAGGTGTGGGAGGAAAGCCAAGTTTGTGTCAGCTCAGTGTTCCACAAGCAGGCTCAGCACCGAGAGACATTTGGCGGTGGCAACTGTTTTGCTTCTCTTCCTGGGTCAGCATATGGGAGAAGAGAGGAATCCACTCGCTTAGGCTTATTGAGAGTTTCCGATGTGGCAGGCACCATGGCAAGCAATTGACATCCATTAACTCATTTAATTTTCCCAGCAACCTGATGAGATAAATAGTATCACCCTCATCATTTTGCAGATGAGGAAATAAGGAGAGAAAGCTCGAGGAACTTTCTCAAGTTCTCACAAGTAGTAAACAGCAGAGTTGGGATTCAAACACACATTAGGAACCTGGGTTTGGATTGTAGCCATGGGAAGAAGCCAAATTACTAGGCTCAGAAAAGCCTGGGCAGAAAGGGAGCTTGCTGCCAGAAGGTGGCAGCCACATTAGGGGACCCTTTCAGTGACAGAAATCCAGCTCAGGCGGTCTAGAGGGATCCAAAGGAATTTATGGGCTCCCAGCAAAGAGATGCCTAAGGACACATAGAGCCCAAAGCACAGGTGAATGCAGGTGCTCAAGCCCCTTCCCGCAACCCCGGGTTCCCCTCATTTGGCTGTATGCTCAGACTCTCTCCAGGTAATGCCAAAGATGCCTGCTGGCAGCTTCAGACTGACATCCTTCCAGATTAGTGGTCCCAAGAGGAAAGGAAGATGTGTTCCCCCATCATTCCAGACAAGTATTGTATTTGATAATGCTGGCATGAGTAGTTCAGTTTGGGTCACATACCAACCCCCACATCAATCATTTGGTGGAGGCTCTTCTCTCATCAGCCACGCCTGGGGCACGTGCCCAACTTCGGAGTAATAGAAAAAGCAAAGTGTTGAAATGGGAGTCCCCAAATAAAAGCGGGGTGCTGTGTACAACACAAGAGTGGACAGCAGCTGGCAGGTAAACCAGCAGCTGTCCTTAACTCTTGTTCTCTGGAATATGCAGGGAGATGGTGGCCAGGCACTTATCAAGCTAAATTCTGCCCCCTTTGCATCTGCCCACTCCGAGTCCTCAGCTTTAGAGCACCCAGACACACACCGATGTCTTCTCTCTCCAAGAAGGGAGTAGCCAGTCAGTGGGAACCACACCGGGCTGGTCTCTGCCAGGAACGTCCCTTTGCACTTGACGGGACACTCTCCTTTTGGATACTTGCTCTCTCCCCCACCTGCACGGCCCCATTACCTTTGCTTTCTGCATGTGTCATCCACCTCTTTTCATGTTCAACGCACTTGAGCCCTTTCATCAAAAATGCTTCAAATCTCTCATCTCCCTCCGTCTGGCATTTTCCCAGTGTCATTAAAAACCAGAACCTCCTGAGAGCTCCTTGCAGCCTCAGCCCAGGCACATGGGAGCCCAGAGGCTTTTCTCAGGGGGAATCTGAGTATCTTGAAGCCTGCGCTTCTGGGAACTGAGATCCAGGGAGATGAAACGTCTCTCTTTGGGGTGTGGCTGCTGAGGGAGGGCAGTCCCTGGGAAGTCTGTAATGCCAACTTTGTCTTTTTCCTCTTTTATGCCAAACACTTTCAGCTCAGGCCAAGCTATCCCTCAAAATACATCGACTCCCTCCCTCTTGTATTTCATACACTATGTGGTTTCTTCAGTTTCCAGGATCTTCTTCCCCTGTGACTCCTAGGGTTGTAAGGTAACGGAAATTAAGGTACATTTGTATGACTCAGAGGATCATCAGGGATTTTTCCATCTGCAGTAGCCCTCATTCAGGGGGAATTAGAGTGCTAAGAAATAAATTTGGCTTTAAAAGTCCATGTGATTGGAAGTACTATTATGGACTGAATATGGTCCTTGGAAATTCCTGTATTGAAGCCCTAACCCCCAATGTGATGGTATTTGGAGGGGGGTTTTTGGGTAGCAATTAGTTTAGATGAGGTTGCCAAGGGTGGTGCTATTGTGATGGGATGAGTTCTTATAGGAAGAGGAATTGAAGTGTTCTTTCTCTCTCCACCAGCTATGTCCAGCACAGGCCTGGTAAGCAGAGGGAGGGAAGGCAGCCATCTCTGAGCCAGGACCTTGGCCTCCCCGTCTCCAGAACTGTGAAGATGACATTCCTATTGCTCCAGGCTTGCAGTCTGGTACTTTGTTAAAGCATCATGGGCATACAGGGATGTTATCAGCCTTCCTTCTTGATTCATAGAGCTCAAATAGGCTCTGATCAAATTTCTTGGACCTTAATGACATTCTTCCACCCCTTAAAAATTCTTGATTTCATGTACCAGCACCCTGCTTTTCATTTGGGTGTCCCTTTACCAACACTTAGCTGCTTCTATTACTCCAAAGTTGGGCATGTGATCGGGTTTGGCTAATGAGGAAAGAACATTAAGCAAATGATTGATTTGGGGGTTGGCATGTGACGCAAGCTGGACCAATCATGCCAACATTATCACCCACATAGAAAGGAGTCATTAATGCTGATCACGAAACAGTTCTCTTTCTCTGGGTCCAAAGGAGCTCTTGGGGCTAGGTGTGCACATGTGACCCCCTTTGGTCAATAATATAAATATGGCTCCTCCAGGGGGAGGCCAGTGTGCTACCGGTCACGTCCTCTCCTCTCACTTTCTCTCTGCTGTAAGACCAGCACTGAGATGACAGCGGCTCCATCAGCCTGGGACCTGGGTGAGGAGACAGGGAGACTTCCCCACCCCACAATCTTCCGTGGACATGTACCATGAGTGTCCTGGAGACCTGTGTTGCTCTCAATCACTGCTGTTTGGAGCACCTTATTATTGTAGCCTAGCCTGTCTTTTTTTTTTTTAAGATTTATTTTTTAATTTATTTATGCATTCAAGAGCTGGGGTGTAGGCCAGAGATGTGGGGTGGTGAGAGGATTTACCAGAGACAGAGTGGGGAACAGAACAGGTGGATCTACTGAAATACACTGCTGAGGGGAGCAGTGGGCGAGACAGGAGAGGCATGCAGCGCCATGTGGGTTGCCCCATGGCTGGGGATCGAACTCATGCTGCAGTGGCTGCTGATAGCTTCTTAGTGCTGAGACTTAACCCCTGTACCACCAGGGAGGCCCAACCTAGCCTGTCTTTACTGGTCTTTTTACAAGAGGGCTGTGAGCACATCAAGGCCTGAAGATATATTTGTTTAAAGGAGCTTTCCTAGCTCATAAGCCTAAAAGATTGTCTTCTCCACTCACTATATCTCCAAATGGCTCACTTCTAATCTTCTACTCTGTAGGGAGACTTCCTTGACCAGAAAAGGTAAGGAACTTTCCTCCAAATCACTTCATCTCATCATCCTTCATAGCCCTTGTCAAAATCCAATATAATCTATTTATTTTTTTCACCACCAGAATAAAAGCTCCTTGAAGGCAGAGAATTTATTTTGCACACTGCCTGGTGCTGAGGACTCTGATAAAGCTTATTGAGTGAATAAATAGATGGGAAAGAAAGCAGCAAAGAAAGGCCTTTGTGTGCACCTGTGTCCTTCAGAGTCTTGTTGGCTAAAAATACATCTTAGACTTGAATATAAACATGGCAAAGCTTGAAACTCTCCTTCCTTCAAGCTCATCATTAATGCTGTTTTGATATAAGGCCTTAATTAGAATGTCCCATGAAAATACTCCAATTGAAGTTCACTTCCCCAGACCCTCCCCAGGGAACTTGCCTCTCAGAAAGGCTGCCCTCACCTCCAGTGGGCTCGTTGTTTGCTTCCCTGGGCAACACTAGTCTGCCCTGCTACAGTTTATCACAAGGTTTTGGGGTACATTGTGTATAGAGAGATCTTAGACCAGGAACCCCTTGAGGTCAGGGATGGGATCTGTATACCTGCATTTCCTGAGGCTCCACAACCCTTTAGAAGAAGTTTAGGGGACACTTGTTGAAGGTATGAGCTGCCAGCTATTGTCTGTGATCATTCCCATGTCAGCGCATTCAAGCCACAAAGTCTGGAGTCAGGTTGCTGGAGGACAGCGTGTGGTTTTCTCTTTGTGTCTCCTTTGTGTCACTGTGTAGTAAATACTCAATAAATATTGACTGACTTCTCCCCTTTTTGTCAGGGCCGACCGTGTTCTGTCTTTCTCACTGCATGTGGAGATAGGAGTTCACAAAAGGAGCCGGCAAGCTTGCTTTAAATCCCACCGGCCAGTCTCTGGGCCACTTATGGGAAAAAGTAAGTGGAGAAGGGGAGAGGAGGCAGCTACACAAAGGGATGTTTTATTGCCAAAATTTCTCAATCCTGTATCAAGACTAAGATTTTGTCGTCATGTTCTGGTGTGTGAGGTCATTTTGGAAGTTTTGAAGTTCATAGCCAAAGTGTAAATAGATAAATGGCAAAACTGAGATGAGCTGCAAAATTAAAATTTTCTATCTTACAGGCAAACAGAATCAAGAAAATCAATTATTCCTGCAAAGGAATCTCCTCATTTAAAAAAAATCCTTCAAGTATATCAAAATATTCTTCAAACAAAATTGAAACAAACTGATTCTCTCCTTTGATTTGAGATCTTGCTGTGAAGCCCTCCGAGGTCCTCAGAAGATGCTTGGCTGCGTCTGCTACAGTGTGATGGGCCTCAGTGCACACAAGGGGTGCCCCACCGATGGGTGTGGGGTCAGCAGCCACACTGTGCTCTAGCTGAGCACCCCCACACTCTGCACAGTGCAGATCTGTGACCTAAGGAGGAACCCCAGGGTCACCCCTGCCCTCACTGAGCCAGTGACAAGATGTGGGGACATGTAAATAAATGCTGATCATGGAGCTTGATCCTCACCGAGGAGGAAATGGTTAAGTCTGCTTAGTCAAGGGAGGCTTTGAAAGAGACACTTGTGCTGAGCCTTGAATGATGCATAGGAGAGGACATTCCAGCTCATGGAGCCCTGATCGCAAAAAACGAGTGTGAAACAGCATGGCACCAGGAGCCTGCCTGGGAGCAGCAAGTGGCTCAGTATTACTGGAGAACGGGGCATTTGCATGCTTCCTTCAACCTGCCTTTCACCAGGTTTTTCTAGCCTTGCCAGCGTAGAGCATCCAAATACACACTCATACATGTGCACACACACACACACATACTTGATGGCATGAACCCACTCTAGCTCTGCGTGTCTCATGAAGTATCTTTCCAAGGCTTGGAACTCAGACAGATGCACACGCCCAGGAAGCTGGCTGTGTCTGTCCTTCTCAGTGTCTCACTTGGCACCTCTGTCCTGCCTGTGTCACCAAAAGATATAGACCTGGATCTTTGTCCAGAGAAATACTAAGGAATTATCACAACAAATGTAGCAGATATATAATTCTCTGAATAATTCTCACTTTTGATTAAAGAGTGTTTTCTCCTCCACATTTGTTGTTGTTACATCAAATCTAAATCTGCCTACCTCAGAAGTTCTCAGCTGCCTGAAAGCCAGAGGAACACTAACTCCATCATCCTCTTGCTGGAAAAAAGTGATTGCAAGAACCATGAAAGCACACGGTTAACATGACCGATGATTGGGGGTCATTTTGAATGACAGCTTTATGGGTTTTTATATAAACTCACCTTCCAAAAAGATTAGAATTGTCAGGGTCAGCAATACAGATCTGTGTGTCACTTCAGCATAAAAACACAGGTTCTGAACTCCTACTCCTCAGCTTTGTCCTGATGAGCCTGGCTCCACACAGGGGAGTCCAGGGTGCAGACAGGAAGTAGGAAGTGAGGCCCACCTGGGAGCCATCTCTGTGGTGGGCACAGTGGGCCTGTGACAGCATGTGGTTTTGGTTAAAGGTAAAAATGTTTTCTTTGTTTTAATACCAGGTAGCTTTGCAACAGAGCTATTGGGGGTCTATAGCAGGTCGAAGGACAGGGTCTGTCAGAGGGCAGGTCACTGTAGATTATCACCCCCACACATTGCAAGACCACTCAGGTTCAGGGAACAGCAATGGGGTTTATTCAAAGAGTTTCTAAGGCAACAAGTAGCTGACAATCTCACCCTAGGTAGTGTCCATAATGTCCACAATTCTCAAACAAAAGCTCACTCATCCAAGATGGTGCCATCCTGTCAATGAGGGACTGGAGCTCGGGGGGCCACAGTCGAAAGCATCTTCCAGTGGGGACCCACTGAAAAGGGTCAGAAACAACCAGACAAGCCCAGAAGGAAAAGAGCAAAATCAAAAGCAGGATAAAAGCTGCCATGGTCACCTCCCCACGGGTCTCACTCACATCTGTGTCACCCAGTCCACGACCAAAAGGACAAACACAGTTTCTTTACGTGTCTCTAGGCCCCATGCGCCTCCTCCAGGTCTCCTGGCTCCATCCTGCTTCCTTCCTTCCTCAGTCTCCTCTTCAGCTTCTTTTCTCTCTGCTCAGCTCCACCCTCCTTTTCAGTGGGGCAGGGAACCTGGAACCTCCCCCTTTCCTGGGGACCACCCTGTTACACTAATGTGGCCCCAGGATGCTCAGAAGGGAACTATTTTACTTCTTCATACTGCACAGCCCCACGAATCTCGCTTTCCCTTCAAAGTCCTGCAGCCAACTTCACATGACGGTGATTTATTTCAATCCTGCTTTTATTAATAGCTTCTCATATTTGGTAAAATCAAATCATTTCGCTGCCACCCAGAATGTTAATTCGCGGCATATCAGCAGAGCTAGCCGGTTAGGGCCTTCTCAGCATACACACACGCACATATTTAAAGCCCAGGGACTATAAAAATAACACTTTGCACTTTAAAATACCTTTTGTGTTTGCCTCAGCAAAAGAGGAGAGTTTCATGAGCAGGTCTACTACTCCTGGCCTCGTTGCTGCTTCCATGTCTCTTAACACTCAAACTCATCTTCTCCACAAAATGTTATTTAAAAATACTTTTCAACATCTTTTTCTACTTTCACCCTTTTCAGGAGATTTTTCGTTTCTGCTGGATTGAGAGTCCTTCTGGGTGTTTTTTTTTTTTTTTTTTTTTGCTCCTGCATTTGTGGTGTCTCCTCATTTCTTATGTCTCCTCATTTTTCGTTTTTATGGGTTGTCATAGAGCTAGACACGTAGACCGTTGTCTTAGGACCTGCTGAAATAACCAGAGACCTGGTATCAGCAAGGAGGACCTGGGCCCTGGGCACCAGCAGTCACCTCCAGTGAGCATCAGGATTTGGGCTCCTTATTTTGCCAGGGGCACCCCAGTTGTGTGGTGAGCTCCACAGTGATGCCTCCTCTAGGCCAGCCCCTCCTCTTAGTGACTTCCTGCTTCTGTCCACCTCCACACTATGCTGTGCAGGGTCAGAGGCGCGAGCCCCCTTTTCTTTTCTAGAAGAGAGGCTTTATGGGGCCTATGCATGTTTGCTCCTGTAATTAATCGGTGTTTGAGCTGTAGTTTATGCAAATATTCCTTTGTTATTTTGGTTTTAGCCCTGGGGGAGTGGGAGGTGGCAATTGGTTTGAATATCCCAGTCTCCACTTTTGGGCAGCCTCTTCCCTGAAGAGGCACAGGTGATCCCACCTGGTTCTCCCCTCTGTTCCATATGAGAGCATGAGGCTCAGGCCTGTAACCCTCACTCTGTGCTCCACCCCTGTGCTCTCCAACATGCCCCTCTGTCCTGGACTCCAGCCTGTGCACCAGTGAGCGAGGTGGTGCCAGCAGGGCCTCAGGAGCCCCGGATATTGTGTATGCCCTAAATTAAGTGGAGGGAGGGGACCTGCACACCAGTGACCCTTCTGTTTTAGTCTGTGCTGCCACCCTATCACTGGAAATAAACCTCACTTAGTTTTCCCGCCCCTTTCTGCCACAGTCTGCTCCTAGCTTGAGCTGCTTTTCCCCTGGGTTTTTGGCTTTGTTCTGCCATGACCCAGCTGTGAGTGTGTGGAGGTGGCTAGTGATGTCTTCACTTTGCCACCTTCTTGCTGGATTCGCCAAACCATCCTTTTCACAAGTCAATTCCTTTATTTTTTTGAAAAAGATTTATTTATTTATGCATACAAGAGCTGGGGTACAGGTCAGAGATGCCGGGGGAAGGGGTGTGTGTGAGAGGATTCACTATAGACAGAACAGGGAACAGAACAGGCATTTTGACCAAAGTACACTACTGAGGGGAGCAGCGGGCGAGTCAGGAGAGATCTGCTGCGCCATGTGGGTTGCTCCCTGGCTGACCGGGCATTGAACTCATGCTGCAGAGACTGCGTATTGCTTCATAGTGCGGTGCTTAACCCCTTGCACCATCAGGGAGGCCCAAGTCAATTCCTTTAAAGGAGTTTTTGTAACAGTGTGATGTCCATAGAAAGGGATGTTTCCAGGTTCCCGCCCCACCCAAGGAGGGGTGGAGCTGAGCAGGGAGGGGAAGCTAGAAAAAGACTGAAGGAGGAGGGAGTAAGGAGACTGGAGGAGACACTTGGAGCAGAGAAACATGTGAAGGAGAAGCTGTGCTTGCTTCTTGGCCTGGGACTTGCACCAGGGACTTGGGCGACATGGAAGGAGACACTTAGAAGAGACATGGGTGAGAGACCCGTGGGGAAGCTGACAATGGCAGCCTTTATCTTGACTTGCATTTTGATTTTGCTTCTTTCCATGCAGACTTGCCCCTTCTGCCCTTTCCTATGCACCCCCCACGCCTGCCCCCGGCCCCACCAGAAGGTACCTTAGACTTGTGTCAGGCTTTTAGGCCTCAGCAGCCCCACTTTGGGCCAACTCTGTTTGGCTGGACATTTACCCATGAGGGGATGGGAAACTTTGTGTGTTTAATTGGAAAATATTTTAACCATATTCTTTCTCTGTTCTCCTGATTGTGTAACAGGGTGGTCCCCAGGAAAGGGGGAAGTTCCAGGTTTCCTGCCCCACCCAAAGGAGGGTGGAGCTGAGCAGAGAGAGAAGAAGCTGCAGAGGAGACTGAGAAGGAAGGAAGCAGGATGGGGAGCCAGGAGGAGACCTGGAGGAGGCGCATGGAGCCTAGAGACACCTGAAGAATCTGTGCTTGCCTTTCGGTCGTGGACTGGGTGACACAGATGTGGGTGAGACCCGTGGGGAGGTGACCATGGCAGCTTTTATCTTGATGTTGATTTTGCTCTTTTCCTTCCGGGCTTGTCCGGTTGTTTCTGACCCTTTTCTGTGGGTCCCCACTGGAAGATGCTTTAGACTCGTGGCAGGCTTTGGGACCTTGCTCTGGGCTGATCCCATATGGATGGAGTTTTACCCACGAGGGGACGGGTCACTTTGGGTGCTTGATTTAGAAACTAGATTCTTTGCCTTTCCTGTATTGTTTCCAAGTTGTATTAAAGTTCCTTCCCATTAAAGTCTCATATGTTTTGTGTTGATGCAGCAAATGGCAGAACCTATTTAGAATAGGCAGGTTTGCGGGGTCTGGGCTGCCCCTCTCCCTGCCCTGTAACAATTGCACACTAATTGTCTCTCTATTGCACACTAATTGTATTAAAGTTCTTTTCCATGGAAGGTCTTATGCCCTAAGATTGTTTTATCTCTATGTGGCAGATGAACCCATATAGAGCAGGCAGGTTTGGGGGTCCTGGGGTGCCCCTCAGTAAGTCCACTAACATTTTGAAGATTCTTATTTTTAATAGCATATTTTGAAAACAGAAGGATTTGTCAATTTTTGGATAAGAATATTATACATACAAACATAAAATATTTTGACTTCTGGAGGACAACGCTATGATTTGTTTTTGATAACTTTTTCCAACAAGGCAAAGGGAAATCAGCTTTTGAATTTTCTTTATTGAAATCCTGTCCTTGTTGATTGCTTTGCCTCTGGCTGAACTCTTGGTAAAAGCTTACCCAAACAGGAGATACTGCTGACCTATCTCCCTATCATCCTTCTTCAATTGACTGGTTTGGAAGCCTACAGCTGAGACAGTGTGTGGCATGTTTCAGGGACTAGGCTGTGTCCATTGGAAGTAACCCTCCCCAACTTCAGCCACACAGAAGGATTTTAAAATCAAGCTGTGATCAAAGCCTTTGTCTCTTACTCTTTGGGAGACCCCAGGTGCAGACCGAAACCCTCCCTCCTGTGGATGTGCCACTGCTTAGGCTACTGTCTGTTGTGCTGGAGGTGGCAGCAGCAGGATTGAGCACCCACCTCAGTTCTACTAGGCTTTGGAAGGACTTGAACATGGAGTCAATGTGTGTTTTCTAGATTTCCTGTTATAACTTGAACTCATGAACTTCAGACTATTGAGATAAGGGCACACAAAACAGGTATGGCCAGTGGGGGCACCGAGAAGGGACAGGGAAGAGCCAGACTGGGTTTAAGAGAGTTTTGAGCTCAGTCACAAAGCTGATATGAAGAAAACAACTGGTCATCTCATCCACAGTGAGGCTTGCTCTTGACTCTGAGATTTGGGGAAGGTATATATATATTTTTAAAGATTTATTTATTTGTACAAGCCCTGGATACAGTCAGAAGCGTGCGAGGGTGAGAGAATTCACCAGAGCCAGAGTGGGGAGCAGAACAGGC